TATATATACATATATATATATATATGTATATATGTATATATAATATATATAGCAAAATTCAAACTACTTTTTCCAGGTATGGAGGTATAGATATGAATCTTATGATAAAACATTGTAGTGTCAGCGACTATGCAATTTTGTAAAAAGTTAGCCCCACTAAAGTATTCCATGTTCGAGGTTAGTGTTTATTACAAATGCTAGTGAAAACTGAGGATGTATAATAGATTGCTCTAAAAAAAAATAAAATGCATAAAAAACTTCAACTATTTGGACAACAACTGAAGGATAAGAAATAGCTTAATTTGTGATTGATGTTGATGGTCACGTATTTCAGTGGGTGTAAAATATATTTACTTCACAAATGTAATTTCTGGGTAAAGTCTTTCTGGAGCTCAGTGGACTAGAGGGAAAGCCCAAATTACAAACTAGAAACACATACTTGACCAGTTAGAGCCTAACAGCCAACAAGGCCATCTGACCCCTCTGCTGGGTCTGCTAAAAGCCAGGTCAGGTACAGCTAAAGTCTTGTTCAAGGACACTTCAACAGGATAGAAGTGGGTTGGCACAGACGCTTGACCCTGGGTTGTCTGTTCAGTGCACCAAACCCAAAGTGAGATTAAGTAATCATGTTGTTAACAAAATGACAATCAAATAAAAACAAAATGATCTTTTTATTAACAGTTTAGAAACAACACTGTTTTCATCTCCCCTTCCTGAATTTTAGACTTCTGCAGTTCTGCCCTGCAAATGACAATGATGAAATTGATATTGTACAACGCTGCCTCATCAATAGTTATGAGGACAGATTCATAGTTACAACAGATGTTTTTCAATTTCCATTTAAATCAACCGACTGTACTTTAAACACACTGTATGTACATGAGGTTTGCTCCCACTTTTTATCATGTTTTCAACATATATACCCACAAATTATATGGCCAAATAGATTCTGGATTGGAGCAACAAAAAAAAAAAAATCAAAAAAAAAAAAAATCATAGTATGAAAAATCCCCCAAAGTACTCTAAATCACCTCTCACCCTCCGCTGTGGCCAACACCATTAAGTAGTGCACTTACACAGCGGCCATGAAACGTCAGTAAAGGAGCAGGTGTCAGGACAAATGGCAAAACACCATGGTTGAGGATACAGTGCAAAGGACAAAGCAGGAAATGAAATGACAAACCACTCATGTGAACTGTCCATATAGTTACTTCAATACGGCCAAGCATTGCTTAAAAGTCCCTGTGGATCAGCATTGATGTGATCATTTGTTGGACGTGAGAAGGGATTGTGTCTGAAACTATCACAGCACAGAACCAGTGTGGGGAGTTACTTCTGTTAAACTGCTTCTCCATGATGTTTAAGTGTCCGCTGCTTACAGAATCCATGAAGAAAAGAGATGAACAGCACAGAAGAGGAAGAGGGACAAGATAAATGGTCTTTAATCCTTATCCAATCAGCTTCTGGCAGTTCAATAAACCGTGCCAAAGGAAAAAAAAAAAAAAAAAAAAAAAAAAAAACACAGAATGAGAAGGAACTAGAACATTTATACACTGTCAAAATAGTGATTTCCCCCCCAGTTCCAGCTGTTATAATTCATCCTCTATGTGATTTTCAAGTTGGGCCTTCTCTGTTGGTCCTGCAGATGAAGACAGAGAAGGAAAGAAGAATATTGTGTGGATGTGGGATTATATCAGCTCATTTCATAGGTACAGAAAAACCCTAAGCTCTGTGGCGAGTATGTTCCCCTTCCTCTCCACGGCTTCAAGTGCTGAGTAACTCAAGCCCATCTTCACTAATTTAACGAGACACAAGAAAACCTGTTGCTATGGTAGCTGAGAGGGAATCGCTCTAACATTTGAAAAGGCCTTACCTGGAAAGAGGGAAAAATGCAGACCTGGCTTGTCATCTTATTCTCTCTGATGATGTTTCCAAATACTTTTGTAGCCAAAGGCAATTTAATAATTCTTGTAATGTAAGACATCCATATTATTTGTCATTTTTAATAGCAAAGCCAGCGCTGTGACATTTCACATCTGAACGGTCAGTAGGAGAAACATGAGCTTTAGCTTTGGGTACAACTTTGTGTGCAACTTGTCAAAATGTAAAAAAGCTCCTTTGGATGAGAGAGAAACGTAAATCAACCTTTTATTGTAATAAATTACATCACATTATTAATTAAGATTTATTAATTTTGAACAGGTGGAAAAACAGAAGCATTACATGTTGACAAATTTTACCTTCTATGACTAACTTGTTTAAGAATTTTATTTTATGTTCCTTATTTGACAAAAACATCCAAATCTTTTGAATTTATATTTTTTTCATGTGCAAATTACTATATAGAACATTGCAGTAGTTATACGCTTTTTTATTTGTACATAATAAGCACTGTCAACTAAGAGCTTATTATAGCAGCTGGAGTTAATTACAGGTCATGTGACAAAAATATCAAAGTCTTTTCTGAGTCAGCACCCTGGAGGATGAATGATCTTAGTGGGTTGCCCACTAATCAGATCGTCTGTGGGAAAAGTCACAAAAGTGAGAGTGTGTGAGAGGGCGCTTCTCAAGTCTCTTAATTGCATCTACGTTTCCCTCACTTGCGTCTTTGGAAACGAAGGAACGAGGAAATATGTTTTTAGAGACGTCCTTTCCACTGAAGAGTCACATGAAGTGCCGTCAGTTTCTGATCACAGCTGGATCAGCTGTCAGTCGGCTCTAACAGCTGTAGAGACTTTTCATGGAGTTTGTGTCTGCACACATGTGCACTGTGTTGGCACTAAAAGTCTCACAGTTATCAGTGCAGCTCAGCATGATTCTCTGTAGCTGTTACCTGCATATGAATAATTATATGTTACTGTATGTCCTGCTCAGAGGCACAGGATCACTTCTACTGGCACAATGCTGATATTATCGGCATTTATATTCATTGATTCTGATTTTGTTATTGAATAAGCCAGAATATGATCATGGTGTCTTGGGACACTCAGTTTTAGGCTTTCTGTTCATTTCCTCTTCAGATATCCTCTAACACTACTGCATACATCTTATTTCAAAGTCACATCACTCGTCACCGATCGATCACTGCGTTCCATCATATCTATCCAATGATTTTATTTTATTTTTTTGAGCAGTAGCACTTTTCATTCTTTCATCAGCTGATTTTACGCGCTTAGCCACCGGCTGCTTTCATCAGAAGCAGTGGGTGAGAAGGCTGGATGTGCAGGTTTTTATTTTCCTTTGCTTGCTTCATTAGAGACTTGAGTGCAGTTTAGGGACTTGTCCAACTCCTAACTTGTTCACTATGTTTTATTGTCATTGACTAAACACAGGAATGACCAGCCTCACATGAGACTGAATAGAAGTGACGGTAAATGATGTAAAACGTGTTTCTTGCCGACAGACTCTCTCTAACTGTCTCCATTATAAAAGTAGATGGGAGAAATAAAAAAGAAAGAATACTCTTTCTAATAAATGAAGAAAGTTGTGTGTGGAGCTTTTTTGTTCAGACCTACAATGAACTCAGATTTTAACTAGACAGTGAATCATAAAAAAATCAAATATAGCCTAACTCTTTGCAGTGATACACTTGAGTTTAATGTTATCTGTGGTGATGAATCAGATCAGTCCGATCAGCTGCAGTGTCCAATCTATATAATGGCTATCCAGTAAGGGAGCATGACGGTCAGTAAAAGACGTCCGCGAAGGATGCACTGGTGTATCCTCGCTAATAGCTCCTCAGAGATCGCTCCTTGGAGCGCAAATAAGAGCTTTGGGACGGTCTGCAAAATGGCGGAGAGGAACAACTTCCGGTTCAAGTGAGGATCGAGGAATAAGGAAACGACAAATACAGAGACTTGAGAAGTACCCTGAATGATTAGTTTCTTTCTGAAAGGCACATTGCAAGGTAGCCTCTGTGTGTGTAAAGGGGTGAATATGACATGTAGTGTAAAGGGCTTTGAGTGAAGTCAGAAGACTAGAAAGGTGCTATACAAGTACATTTCCTTCAGCGACTGATACCCCACCTGCGAAACATTAGTCCAGTATATAATGTCCCATTCATTCAGTTCAGTGGAGATTTCTGAGCCTGTAGTTTACTGTCGTGTGTTCATGTGTTTGAATTGTTTTGTCCACCCCCCTAAAGTTCTCCGGAATCATCAGCAACAGGCTTAGCAGACCGACCTGTAGTTGTTGTTTCTTCTGTGGGCTGTGATTGGCTGTCGGGTCTGCGTGTACAGTGCTCTCCTCCGTGGACGGGGCTTCGCCAGGCGGTACCTCCTCTGGGCCTTCTGTTTCAGAAAAAAAAAATACATACAAGTTATTTTAAGCCAATCCACAGTTGTAATTCTTTTTCATATTTATAAGGGTATAATAACAGAAATGTGGGTTTTGGTGTTTGACCCACCACTCTTTGTGTCCGTGCTCTCCTCTGTGGGAGGGATGACCTTCTCCTCGGCCGTGTTGTTGGCCTTGCTGCCTTTATCAGAGCTGGTGCTGTTCTTGGTTTTGGCTTTAGCCTTCGGCTTGGCAAATTTGGCTTTGTTGAGCAAGTAGTTGACCTCTCGATCCAGCAGAGCTAGTTTGGACTCTATGTCCTTGGAGAGTAGGACAGGTCGCTCCTTTGGAGAGCGTTTCTCTTGCTCGGCTACCGTCTCATTCCTCCACGTCTGCAAGACACAGATTCAGTTTTACACATCTAGGTAATTTTCCTCTGTACAAGGAGAACTACAGCCTGTGACTGTTAGAAAATGTCTTCTGTGGCTCCAGGAGGGCCTTTCTATAGTCTGAGAAAATTACTCTGATGTCATAGACCTGTCATCAGGGCTATCTCAGCTGCATTATGGAAATAACTAGATCACTAGATTACTAGAGACTGAAAGTCAGGATATCCCAGCCTCTGTAGCCAAATTCAGACCATTCAATTATAATCCGTCTTTTGCAAGGTCCACAACTTCACTGAAGAGCAATAACAACATGGGCAGAGTCCCTCTTAAGCAAACTAAATGAATAAGGTGACAATCCTCCACAGCAGTGTGATGACAGCATGACAACCACCACCTACCGTTGTTTCGTTGATCACTTTTTCTAACATATTCAGCTCAACTTCAGTGAAGATTTGGTCATCTTCTGGAATCAGTCTAGCACTCCTTTGAAATAAAAATAAAAATGAGTCAATACAAATCAACTGACCCAACACAAAATCCTCCAGCTGCTTCCCACCTTCCTTCCAACACTGACCTCAAGAAGAAGCTGGAGGTGTTTAGCATGCTGTCTAGGGCTGCCAGGCGGTCTGGCAATTTGCGTCGCTCCTCCACCCTGAAAAACATGTCCTTGCACAGGCTCTTCAGCTGAGACAGCTTCTCTCTCAGCTGCTTTGTGGTGGCCGCGTAGCCATCCTCGTCCATCCATTCAGACACCTCGCTCAGCTTGGCAGAGATCTGCTCTTTCTCCTCCTCTGACACCACCAGCTGGTAGTCGTCCTGGTACAGCTTGTCCTGGAGAAAGAGCGCAAGTATTGTTTTTGTGTGTTTTTGGGAAGAGGCACAGGTGATGTGGTGCCTTGGTGGTTTACATTAAAATGATTCAACAGCTAGGATTAATGTTTGCGCATATTCCCTTTACACTGCACTGGCAACTACAAATTGCCTTACATAAAACACTATAAAGATAAAGCTGAAAAACAGAACTTTCACTTCTGTTGCTCACCTGTGTCTCAAAAATAAAAGCTTCCAGACTGTTAAGTGTCTTTTCCCTTTCCTGTTTGGCCAAGTCTCTGTCCGTCAGATCCTGCAACCTGAAAAGATCCAAAGACTTGTTTTAGACGCCAAAACTGAGAACCCAACCTCACAACAGTTAAAAAGAATGACAATTGCTGCTTTACTTCTTCTTCGAGGAAGTGACATCATCTGCAGTAGGGTCGAGGATGTCATTGATGACGAGTTCCACTGCGATGTCTTCAGAGATCTTGCTCTTTTTCTGAGGTTTTGCCTTCTTTTCCACATCCTTCTCTGCCTCAGTGTTTCCAGACTTCTCTCCGTCCGTTTCCTCCTTCACCAGCAGATATGGTTACTTTCACTACCAGGTAGGAATGGGGATTGAGACCCAGTTCCAAAATTTCTCAAAACCCAAAAGCAATAAGGTTTGAGCTTATTGATACTGCTATTGAGACTTGCGGGTCCTATGATGAAACGTTAAGTCTCGAGCGTAAAATCTGATTTAATTTGAAACACAATGGATAAGAAAATCATCAGGCTGCAGTCTCTGCTGCTCTCTGTTGGCCAAATAATAGCAAAATATCTATAAATAATCGGATCGTTAAGCAGTCTCGATATCAATAAAAATGAACGATCCCCATCCCTACTACCAGGTCTGTTAAAGCTAATCTCTTGAGTACAGATTTTCACAAAGTGCTGTGTAAATATATAACCACTGACCACTGAGACTGAATTCACATCGATGTGTTTCTCAGACACATTACGTGTAACAGATCTTACCTTGGCATCAGTCTTGCTGCCTGCCTCCTCTGTCTTCTCCTGACTTTTCTCTTCACCTGCACCTTTCTCCGAATCGTCCTGTTTCTCCTTGGCTACCTCGTCCTTCTGGGCCTCATCCTTGTGGGCCTCATCCTTCTTGGCCTCGCCATCCTTTTCAGACTCTGGAGGCACTTCCTCCTCATCCTGGACACAAGAAGTCAGGGACACATTCAGTTTCATCAATTACAGTGGACACAAAGTCTACACACCCCTGTCAGAATGGCGGGTTATTGAAAGGTTTTTATTTTTCATTTTTCCCCCCCTCAAAAGATTTTAGTTCGTTTTTAAATTAAATTGTTCACATTATAGATCACATTAAAAAAGGTGGAAAAAGTTCTGACATAATTTATCTTGGCATTTTAACAGGGCTGTGTAGACTTTTTCTATTCACTGCAGTTCTAAAACCTACCTGAAGTGTGAAATCCAGAGTTCATACAGGCATTACTGTATTTTCTTAATAAACATATTCATATGATTGTGTATGTTTAATTTACGGCTGGGCGATATGGCCAAAAATGTTATCACGATAAAAGCATTTCAATCATTCGATATCGATAATTATCACGATAAATGTCTGATGATAAATTATTATTTCTTTCAAGTTTAAAGGCTGATTTTTGCTGCTGAGTGAAAATGGAAGAAACCAGGTTAATTGTGGTTAAACGTTTCTTTACGTGAGTGTGACAAACACTTGATACCAAACAGAGGATAACTTAACAAATCTGAGGTCGAACATTCAAAATTATTGTGAAAATCTTTAACAAATATTAAATTTTCTCAGTCCCTTTTCCTCAAAGAAAAATGTATATTTCAATAGACAAATTAAGTGACAGTTCATTTGTGATTCAAATTAATTAAACCAAATATTTATTGATGATATATTGAACATTTATTATATTGTTATTGAGGATAATTATATTGCTATAATTATCATTATTGTTTATTGCCCAGTCCTAGTTTAACTGACTGTACTGTGCCATGTATAGAACTGCAAGTACCTGGACAGGTTCAGTTACATTTGGAGCTGGTTCTGAAGATCCTCCTCCAAACAAGGTGGAAATTGTGTTTCCCAGTTCTGAAAGACAAGAAGGCTCATTTATGCATTAACCTATATCTAAAACAGGATGTAGTATTGCATGAATCAGCAAGAATACAACACAAACATGCATTTTCTGAAAGATCTCATAGTACTGTTCCTGTATTACGAACAGTGGTGAATAAAAGTGGAATGCTGTCGATGCATCATAGTGGATCAGAGGGCTAAAAGAAATGTACTTGGAGAGGAGGCAAGGACGTCTAACCAACCAGGTGGACCAGGGGCGGCAAGTTCAATACCCAGAATACAGTCCCCTCCAAAAGTATTGGAAAGGTAAGGTAAACCCCTTTGTTTTTGTTGTTCACTGAAGACATCTGGGTTTAAGATCTAAAGATGAGTATGAGACAAGAGTTCAGAATTTCAGCTTTTATTTCCTGGTATTCCTGGCCTTACCGTTCCAATACTTTTGGAGGGGACTGTGTATGTTCATTATCTGGTTTCACACAATTCGGTAG